CTTCATCATGAATCGAGCTCGTTGTTATAACGCAAAGAGTGAAATGAATCAATTCTTTAATTTCATTTTACTTTTGAAGCGTTTGCATCATTTCAAATAAGTCGACAGGATGCCCGCCCTTTCTATAAGGCTTATGGCAAACAAGGCAACTCAAGAAAATATTTCCTTGCAATTTAACCCTTAACCGCGATCACGGAATCTGACAGACACTACTTATTAATGCGTTTTCTTCTCTTTGCAAGTTCAACTTTCCCGTGTGCGTATACATACTTAATTTCTATGCAAAGTTTAATTTTGCATTAACGTTACAAACAATATACATTCTAGCGAAAGTCTGACAGACTCCGTATTGCCTGTATCACTGTCAGAAATTCGGCTGTCCGCAGAAAAGGGTTAAGGAATTTTTCCGCAAAAGAAACACGTAAAAATCAATATGTTATATATATATATATTATATAATATTATTATATATATTATTATTATTATTATATATTATTATTATTATATATTATTATATTATTATTATATATATATATATATATATATATATATATATATATATATATATATATATATAATCAAGATCGCGCAGAAGCTGTTGTTCACCGAACAGACATTTTGTCCCAGAATTTTCTTTCCATCGTTGCGTTTCCGTTTCAGAGGAGGCGTCGCATCCCGATAGGAAAGGATCAGGACCGCGCGAACGATCCCGCGAAACCGTCCAAGGAAACGACGCCGATCGTCGCCGGCACGACCGAGTCGTCCTCGAACACGCTCGTTCCCCGCAGCCGGACGAAACCCGCGGAAACAATGGACACCGACGGCCAAATAATCGTGGCATCCTCGTCCGAGTGGAAATCGTCGCCCGCCTCGGCGACCGCCGAATACACGATCTGCAAGACAGGCGTCCAGGATAGGTGTAAAGCGGAATCGCGGGGTGGAAGGCCGCGCGGTTTCGACCGGAAGTTTTTCGACAGTCTGGATCGCCGCTGGAAGATGATCGTCGTGGACAGGAGGAGGCGGATCCTGCAGGAAGTAAAGAGCCCGCCCGCGAGCCCGGCAATTCCGACAACTCCGAGCCCGTCGAATCTGCCGACGTTGACCGGAGAGTTCGTCTTAAGGAGCTCGGCTAACGAGCTGGCTAGTCGCGGCGATTCCAACGATTTTTTTGAGTCCGTCGCGCAAGGGGAGGAGAATATCGATGGGATCGCGAGAGAGCCGAACGAGCCGCTGGCTTTGCCGGAAGTAATCGCGAAGAAGCCGAAGAGGAAAAGGAAGACCGAAGTAACCGGTCATTAGATATTTCACAAGGTCACCGATGGACAATTTTCGTTTGTTCGTTACAGCGCCGCGCTGGGAGAGACCGTTTTCTCCAACGATTTGCGAACGCGATATCGATTCCGATTGAGACGCACGTCGAGATAAATGCCTCTGTCACAAAAGCTGCGCTTTGAGAGTTCAGGTGTCACAATCTTTAACTTTTAAGAATATGGTAGTCTCAGTTATCGTAGAGGTACTGCAATATTTGCGGTATTGCGAACGTAGAGAATAGCGACAGAAGGAAGAAAGAGGAATCACGAACAGATATTAATTAAAAAATTAATAATATTAAATTATTATTAATAATAATTATGTAATTATAATAATAATATAATAATATTTGGCGGCGGTTCGCTGGGTCGTGGAAAAGGAAAAGGGGAGACGTTTCGTCCGGGGCCCGCTAGAGGACTCATCGGTAAGGCTATCCTAGCGGGCCCTTGCCTTAGACGTAAGGGTAGGACGAAGTCTCGGTGTATATATAGGGATCGGAACGGATCGGCTACTAGCGGGAAGAGGAGCCCTCTGCTGGCGGGTCTGGAGGTAGCCGCCACAAATATGATAATATAATATTATAATAATATAATAATATAATGTTATAATAATATAATAATATAATGTTATAATAATATAATAATATAATAATATAATGTTATAATAATATAATAATATAATAATATAATGTTATAATAATATAATATTATAATAATGATTATTAATAATATAAATTAATCAATACTAACTAAAAAATATTGACAGATATTAACGGGCTCGTGCGAGCTCAGCTTTTCAAACTCAGAAATTCAGATTCCTTATCTTTGGTTTCTCGTCGATGATACTTTTATCGTCAAACTTGTCTCGATTATGACCACTCGTGTAATAAGTTCGTGTCAGTTTGTGTCAACTCAGCAAGGAAAATTGTCTGCGTCAATTGTACAAAACTGCAGCTAAATAGGCAGATATTTCATAGCCTAACGAAATAAATTCGATTCTTCCATTGCATTTAATCCGCAGTCCAATCGTATATAAAAATCTTGCACCTCGCGCGGAGCCTGAATCAGGTAAATTTATTTTCGAATTTGGAGAAACGATGGTCGACACGTGAATGTTATTAAATGCTGTTTTCTTGTGGCAACCATTTCTCTGTCCTCGATGCTTGAAAACGTTCTGCTTGGATGTTTTCAATGATCTCAGGAGTATGAATTTTAACGTTTACAGATATAAGATTTTCCTTTTCAGACGACGCGTCGTCTGAACGGACATAATTTTTGAATCGTGAACGTAAGCTCCATATGTGATACGTACGTTAACACATTGCGGACGGGGCTCTGCGCGTTCAACACGCCCTCAAAGACCGCACATTTTCGAACGCACCAAAAACATGCTTGGCAAGTAACAGGAAGCGGATACGCACATTTCTAATTTGTGCATTTAGTATTCTTAAATAATACTATATATACATAGTTTATGTATCTGTTTATTATATAAGATTTTTTACATTTTAACTATTATTTATTATACAAATTTGAATATTGATTTAGAGTGTGATATTTGGAATGATTCATTTGTTTCGCTAAAATTACTTAGGAATGCGACAGGCTTCGTTACCATGGTGCTTAAGTTGCCGATTAAATAAAAAAAAACGTGAAAACGAGATATCTCGTAACCCGTCCGCAACGTTCAATTTGCTAAAAACGAGATATCTCGTGAGCCGTCCGCAATGTGTTAAGATGTAGCTAGATTGTAGATAACTATTGTTAGATGTACATTAGGCGCAATGTTAAATTAAGGATCACTGTTATACGTCTGCCAACATCATCAGATTGTGTTCCTGCTGAAATTTTAATAAATGTTGATCTTATTTTACGAAATCTCGAAATCGGTTCTATCTTCCTACCGTTCTCACATTATTATCATATGAAATTAAAATGGGAGGGGGAGGGGAGGCGGATAAATGTCTTTAACCTATATATATTATTATTATATACCTATATATTATTATTATTATTATTATTATTATTATTATTATTATTATTATTATAGTCTTAAACCTATTATAAAAAATAGAAGACATAATTCACTTAGACATATTGTTACATTTATTATAGCGTGTGTTTAAATTAATGAAAGACTTCCACGGAAGAGATACGAAAGATATACGGTAGGTTTAGCGTTGAATATAATTAATTTGAAGTAACTTATCGAATATTAAAGTGACAAGAGAGCCTGCAAAAACCTAGATGAGAACCGTTCCGCTGATTTATCGCAGACAAACTAAACTAAGCACAAATCGTTCCTTGTATTTCTTAAATTCGCACATGTCAAGAATACACAAAGATCCGCAGTCTAGTATTATAAGTATTGTTGGATTGTTATAATATTGTTAAGATTCGGTTTTAGAAGATTACACGCTACAAAATATGTTACATTTTCTTACTTCTACAAAATACCGCAGTATCTGGGCCGTCCGCAGCAATACCCGCGCTTACCCTACGACACGAACATATTCTCGGGGTGCGTTGACCTTTCGCGAAAGCTCAATTAGCAAAGGAAATGATGAATGGGTAGCAACAGGCGTCGCGAACTTCGGGCTCGCGCGTTTATTCGCACGTTTCGGCGCTTCGGTGACAAATTACAGAGATTATTAGTTCGCCTCCGTCGGAGGCGTAGCATTTTTTTTGTTCGCACATCTCGATATCTGCATCGCTCATAATCATTTACCCGGGCACCGTCACCCTGTCAATTTCCCTCGCCGGCCGGAGTCTACTTTTCCATTTTCAGCTTCGATCGGCCTGACAGGATTCGCGAACAGGTCACCCAACAATCCCGGCTTTTCCGTGGGCTTTGCCAAGGATTCCGCGTCCGGGTTATCCGGCGCGCTCTTGAAAATATCAAGCAATCCCGGGCTGTTTGATATATTGTCCTCCGGCTTATGTAGAATATCCATGATCGCCGGCTTCTCTGCGACCTCTATCTCCGCCGCTTTTTCGGACGCTTCTGCAACCGTTGCGGAAAACGTCGAGCTATCTTGAACGGAAGTTCCCGGCCCGCCGGTGCCGGCATCCTCTCCGCGATTAAACAAATTTAAAGGTCTGAAAAGATCGTTTGCAACGCTCGTAGATCCCTCAGATCCCTGATAACTGCCATCGGGTCTCTGAAAAAAGCTTCGAACCTTCTGCACGATCGCCAACTTCTCCGTTTCGTTCGCAATATCGTGAACCGTTCGGAACATCGTATTCTTGCTTGCCTTTTCTTTCAAAGACTCCTCCTCGGCTCCCCGACCCTCGATCTCCGATCCAGAGTTCCTCGACAGTTGAATATCGATCTCCGTTTTTATCTGCTGATCCAGCGCCGGTCTTTGAGTCGAGTCGAAATAGTGGAACGGAGAGCCACCGGGGACGATGCGAGGCTTCTCCTCGATAATTGCACCTCCTGGTCTCAACGATATCACAATGTGCTCGAGTTTCTCCTTGCCGGCAGCACCCTGAACGCAGGAATGGCAAACCACCTGATCGAAGCCGGCCGTCGTCAGCTCGACTGGTCGCCTAGTCGGGATTGGTCTGACGATCGGCTTGTTGAAGTCCATATTCGCGTTGCCTCCGGAATTCTGGCCGCCGTCGAGGTCATGATCGACCGGGCTCTGACAATTGCCGCCTGGTTTATTGCTCGGTTTCCCAGTTTCTGTCGGCCGGACGGCCGGCTTCGGCTCGAAAACTGGTTTCGAGGGTTGAACGGCTTCGTAGTCGTCGCACAATGGGATCCCGACGTCAGGTAGACAGTTGTGGGCCACCAGGGTGGCGGTCACCGGCGCGTTCAACACTTTCGTGACGTAGATCTGCTGCGGTTTCGCCGCGGTTTCGCCTCTTATGCCGAGGTATCTCCTTTCTTCGACGCTTTCCTCCAAGCTCCTCGCCAACTTCGGCGTCTCCGGCGAACCGTCCGTCGGAGCCTCCGCCGAGACCTCGGACGACTGCAGGAGAGGCGCATCGGCAACGATCTCGATGGACGCCGATGTGTCTTCTTCGTCTTCTCGCGGCGGAACAGCCGATCTCAAGCTCGTCTGCTGCGAGCGGCGGTCGCTCGTCTCCTGGTAGACGTTCCCTTTGGCACTCACGCTTTCGTACTCGTTCTCGAATTTTCGGAGAGCCAGGTGACAAGCCGTCGCGCCCTTCGCTGGCATCAGGCAGACAGGTTGACGCCACCTGACGATTTCGACGGGTCGAGCAGGCTCCATCACCGTCGGCGCGTGATTCACGATCCAGAATTTGCTCAGGTCCAGCGTCAACATGCTGGAAACCAGCGACAGAAATATCGCGACGCTGCTCGCGATCTTCATGGCCGAAGAGCAATCTTGTCGGAGATTTCTGCGCGTTCTTGCTCGGGATCGAGAATTTCGACGGTTCGATGACTCTCTCGGCGTTTCGAGGAAGTTCTTCGGCGCTTCTGAAAGTTCCGCTGCTTTCGGAGCTGATCTTGGAGACGATGGGAGACAGACTAAAGGGGTCCACGGAGAGGCAGGTGCATTTATAGTCGGAAAATGACCAGCGTTAGCCGGAGTGGAAAATATGTGGAATTTCGAGGGTTCGTTGCCCCGCTGGATAAACTGACCACCTTTTCGGGGACCGACGACAACCTGGCCGGCCGATTAGGCGAGTCCGAGAACACGTCCGAGTTGAAAACCAATTTTAGGGCACTTTAACTGCCGCCGCTGGCGTCGCGTTAATTACCCTTTGGGGATGCTGCGTTTGTGCACTGGACCGGCGCGGCTAGTCAATTGTCGAAACTGCATTTTCGAAGGATTTTGTCCGTAATGACGCTTCAAAGGAGCCTGAATTACTCCTTTCGTTGGAGCCTTTAATCTCTTCGCTGTTTGGTTTTGTCACGCAATTTTTTGAACACAGTTTTTTTTTTATGTCGGAGTTGCTGAAATTCATCGATTTCTTTCGTAGAGGATTAAGGAATAAATAGCTTAATCCATGCATAAATTATCATAACAATGGTGAAAGATCTAAATATAACAGTGTCTTTTCGTTTTTATGAAGCAACAAAAGTTTGGTGCGAACTGTTCGTTCTTTCCATTTCGTATTTGTTTCAAGATATTCCAAAATGTCTGAAATTTACAAAA